TAAGGTTAACATTCTGGAAAACATTGACTCACGTAACTTGATCAGTCTACTCATGTTATTTTAAATAAACTTCAGCTCACCTATAATTGCTTTTTAATAACTATTCACTATTCCTGTGTTCATGTATGGGAACTAATAGTTTTACTCATTATTTTTCCATCAATACATGTAGATATATGCAAAGGGAATTGATAGATTTCCTGTAGGCCAGACATTGTCGTCTATAACACATTGCATGAGTATAAGTATGAATGCAATAGTAGAACACAATATCATATCAACTTCATGTTACTGTAATAAGAAGCTATTGCATTGACTATTCAGAAACTTGTCTTAAGATAAACTACAAGCCAAGAATCAAAATCAGTCATACATCAAACATATTCCTATGTAGTTCAAGAAAGATGGTTAAGTTGTTTTCAAAAATCATGAACTAGAAGCTGAATATATGATATTGATAATGAAAAGTCACTGGGACTTGCTATAATTTGTGTAGATATCTACTTTGGTAAATCCTATAATAGAGCAAATTTACACTTGGAATTGAAACAAGATATTTTACATGCATGAACAGAAATGAATAAATTTCTTTTGCAATGTAATGGCCTATTAGTTCAATGAAATCTAAATTTTGATCTAAGACTTAAGTCCAATTGGAATTTGCAAGTCAAACTTTAATGAAAATGCAGTTCTTCATTGAGGTCTCTTTTTACATTTACTTGACAAGTCAACAGCTGAATCCAACAATAAAAGAAGTTTTAGATTCAAAAGTTTGCCAAGTTGAAGTTCTTATTGTGCTGTATATTGAAGATCCAATACATGTTTTAACAACTTCAACTCTCAAACTATAGCAGAAATATTTGCATGCTGTGAACACTTTTAAATGTACATTTACAGGACAATGTTGACCATCTTTTTGTCATCAATGTGTCTCATTTCATACTCCTCTAACATTAGTAACTAATATTTGTCAAGATCATCAACTGCGTGAACAGCAAGCCATGATGGACAATAGCAAAAAGTGAACCCAGAAACTGAGTGTTTGTTTAATTATTAAAAAAATGTTTCTTTCAGAAGTTTCTTAGCAAAATGAAAGATACTAAAAATTATGTTTAATAATTGAAATCAAAATATATTTTTCTTAGAAAGCTAGTTTTTATTTTTTCAAAAGAAATTGTATGATCTTCAGAAAGTATGAAAACTAGTTTTCCTAATCTTCCTAAATGTCTCTTTACTTTGCAAAGTCTATCATCATCATCAATTCATCATTGTTTCTGTAGTTGTTGTCTGAGCAAGCTGTAGCAGTTATGTTGTCAGTTAAATGATAGAACTTGTACAATTACGGAACAGACAAGCATCAATATCTGCTGTAGCCACCAGTAAGGCAAGCAACATATATCACCACATTTGACAAGTCAAGCAGCAGTTATGGCTGCACCGCCATATGCTGACCTCACAAACAGCAGCAACTGGGCATCTTTAAAAGGGATCATAAGAGGAGGGAGGACGGAGGAGGGAGGAGGGAGGAGGGAGTTGGGGTTTGTCGGGGCATCTTTAATAGGGACCAGACAAGATGAAGAGATACGAAGGGGGGAGTGAGGGGTGGAGATTTTGTTAGATCACTTGGAGTTCGGAAAAGAATTGGCATATGATTTGACATATTTGGTCTATTGAGGGCTTTATAGTGTTTAGGACTGTAGCACAGAAGATGTAATTCATTTTAAATGGCCTCTCCTTGGTGCAATGAAAGTACCTTGTGCTTGCCTTGCTGGGTACTTGAGTCAGGTGTGTCGAGTCAATGTTGCTGTACGCTGATTTTTTTTATTGAGATCTTGGCAGAGTAACTTGATCTTGTATTTTGTGTTTTATTTTCATGCTTAGCCAAGAGACCATAGATTATGTGTTTTCAGTTCTGAGTATTCAGGGCAGTCTTTAATGGGGTTTTCTCTATAGAATATGCCTGTCTGTCTTCATCTTTTGTCATATTTATCTTTTTGAAATATGTGATTTTGTTGAACTTCCAATGACGAGAGCTGTTTCTGTGGCTTTTTTGTCAAGAAATAATTAAGCATGCTGACTCTGGAGCTGCTTTGAGGCCATTTTCTCTGGCCCTTCAGCTGTCCATTTGTTGGTGGAAGTTTGCTTGATATATCAAACTTTCAGTCTGTGTTTTTTCCCATTAGCTTCTGTGTATGCTGAGTGAGTGAGAACCTGACATTATTATGTTGAACTTCCAATGATGAGAGCTGTTTCTGTGGCTTTTTTGTGTCTAGACTCGAGAAATAGTTAAGCATGCTGACTATGAAGCTATTTTGAGGTCATTTTCTCTGGCCTGTCAGCTGTTTTCCATTTGTTGGTGGAAGTTTGCATAATATGTCTAATTTTCGTTCACTGTTTTTGTCCCACTAGCTTCTGCTTGTGCTGAGGGAGTGGGAACCTGACATTTCTTATGAAAATTTATTAGTGATTGATAAGTTCAATGAGTGCAGATTTGTTAGTGGAAGTATGATGCCTGTGGGGGACGAACAATTTCTCTTGGCTAAGAAAGTGGCTTTAAGGGAGTTGCCAAATGAATCTAAGAACATAACTAACAAGCCACTTTTGACCTCTCTTCCCAAGGATTGTGGGAAGGGATTAACCCATGAATCTGGGAAGGTGGTTGGAACCAAGAGGCAGCAACCTGATGGGCCACCTAGTCCTTCCAGTAATCTGCCCCAAGTAAAAGTTTCTCCACTTGCAAATCTGGTGTATACACGTAGGAAGCTCGAGACTGAACAAGGCAAGATGGGTGCTTGTGTCTATATCGATCATGCTGAATCTCCAGAATTAAGGAAGCTAAGCAGTAACTGCACAAAAAGGCTTAATATGCAGAAAGAACTGATTCAGGAGCCTAAGGTGGTTTCTTCTTTATCATATGTTTCTGATGCAATTACATCCCCGGCCACATCGTCTATGGGGCTATCATTTCCCCATTCACATGGGAAATCCATCTCTAGATTGGCAGGTCCAGAACCACAAGATTCAGCCATTGCCGCTGAGTGTCCTTTTCTTGCTGATCCTCCTCACAAAGTGCATAAGGAAGGTTGGAAAGACAGGTTCCTTAGGCTGCAGATGTTCCTAAAGACCTGTGATCAGTCATACCAGGAAGATTATATCCAAAGTAATTTGCATTTAGATTATGGTATATTACAATAAATCTGAAATTTTTTTGATATTGCAAGCTTCTTAATTGATCTGTTGATTGTATCAGTGCTACGATCTTTATCTGCCATTGGCCGGAGTAGGCATGCTGTTGAATTGGAGAAAAGAGCCATACATCTCTTGTTGGAGGAAGGTGATTCAGATGTTTAGTAAAATGTTTGTAGTACTAATCTGTTAATAATTCCATGTAAAAGCTGTTTTACCTTAACAGTTCTCTCTTAACATAGCCATAGACTGCTGTTTTGTTTATTGATTATTGGGGGAATGCAATGCATTTCTTTTGACAAATTATGGTGTATCTGCTAATTTTCTGCAGGGAAGGAGTTGCAACGTATGAAAGCTCTGAATGTTCTTGGCAAATCTCAACCAAATGATCATGCATCCATTCTAAGTCAGACACCTCTCGCGAGCAGAGCTCCAGAGCGGTAAATACTTCCCATTCGAGTGTGAAAGAGAATGTACACTTAAGGAATTTTCATATTCATCTACTGTGCAGGAACCTTGTGCAGTTTTGTGTTTTGTGCTTTGATGAGTTATTTTAGTTAGATTACAGCATGAAGTTTAGATTAATGCTTGTTGTTCCATCAGATTTTGTAAACTTAAGCCATGGGTTTGTGTAAGTAACTTGTAGATGCTTATTATCAGATAATAAGTACCCTAATTTCATTTTCGTGCTCTTTGATTGACAATATCAGCATTCTATGGGTTTTGTACTTTGATCTGCATCTTGGTCATGATTCAAGATGTTTATGTATACTTCTTATGTTCTAAATGCCAAAATGATTGCCTAGATATTACATTGCAAATGGAGATATTTCCTATCAGGTTGTCTTGGTTACATAATGATGTCAATGTACCTTCTTTTGAGGATGATGCAAATCTAACTTGGAACATTTTCTAAGCAAGTGGAAGCTGAGCACTAGTCTTAACTTTTTCATCTCTTTAAGACCTATAAAGTCTCATGGCTTATGGTTCTCTATGAAATGATAGTGTGTTTAATTTCAAACAATATTAACAGAGACAAGTTTAAATATGTATATTATAGTTTGACATTGTTGATCTTAAGCCAATTGCTCTCCTTCCTGGTATTTGTTTGCTTAACACAAGCCAATTAGCAAGTCAACCCCAAAGCACTTGATGAGGTTTCAACTTGTGGGCAAGCAAAAGTCTTGGTCTTTTGATTCTGAAACTTTTTTATCTTAAAGTGTCACAAAATTCAAATCACTTGTGGTCAACCCTCCCCTTTTGTGGTCATTGCACCTCATCTTCTCATGGGAGGATCAAAAGGCCATCATTACTTGTGGAGAGATGGGGGGAGACAGATTCATTCAGTGGAGAAGAGACCCTAAAGTTCAGAGCTGACTGTTGACTTCAATTAAGTTTTACTTTTTAGTCTTCCAAGAATAAGGTTCACTATACAATTGTTCATTGAATTCTGCATTCTATATTTTTTTTAATACTTTGATGCAAGAGTCAAACCACTAACCCACAATTCATGGTATGGAGTCTTGTCCAAGAATTCTGCTGGCCTCACAAATCTTGATTCTGTGTGTTTTCTGGCTTGACTATAGTCAACCAAAGAAATTTCCATTATGATGATTGGAGGTTTGGAACCCTTAAAAGTTATACAGATTCAAAAAGAAGCCTTGCCTTCAGTTTTCAGGAAGTCATCAATGAAGGTTGACTTCGTGAAAAAACAACATTGCAGTACTTGTACTACATAAAAAAGGAAGGCACTGCTCTTACAAGTGAAGAACACTCTTTTATCTTCTACAATTCCATATGTTAAATAATCAAAGTACAAACCAAAACCCTCATTTTATTGTCAGATTTGAGTCACCAATGTCGAATAAATCATTGCCAGAAGAACCACAATCAGAACTACAACATACAAAACTATCTGACTGATTTTTACAGGAAAAATTCCCATTTAACTGAAGCTTGTGCCACCATCTGTCTCTTGGATTTCATGCTTCGGATGAAGCGGTGAATGGTTGCATGATGAAAGATGGCTGCGACTGCCAGCCACAGTCTGCCGGGATACATTGTTAGCCGCTTTAGATCTACCTTTCGTGGCTTCGATCTGCTCCAGTGTCTCAACAACTTCTTTCATGGATGGGCGGCTTCTAGGATCATTAGCAAGACATTTTAGAGTGAGCTGAGCTGCCTGAAGAGCCCCCTTTGCGGGGTACCGTCCCTCAAGCCGAGGGTCCATTAGTCGTCCCAACTTTCTCCGATCGGCTAACAACGGCTTCGCGTATGCCACCAAATTGTGTTGATTACTTGGACGATTAGAGTCAAGAGCTCGCTGACCAGCGAGCATCTCCAGTAGCACAACTCCGAAACCATACACATCACTCTTCACATACAAATGACCTGGATGAACAAAGGCAACTTGTTAACATCATGAATGATGCACATTCCGACCATAAGAAATAACAAGTATCATACAAGATTGTAGAGTCCAAAATATCTAACAATTCCATTCACGAAAAAGAGTTCTTATCTAATGATAATAAGTAGTGGTTGAGCTTTTGAGCCACGGTAATGCTGATAATTAATGACCTTTGAGCCACTGAAAGTCTCTATAATCCTATATTGACAGAGACCTCATGCATTAGTTGTACACATTGCGTCTTCCATTTATAATAAAGCAGCTTTTCATCACTATTCGCGATGGGCAAATTTGAATGTTTGAATAGTGAAGCTTATGATGTGGCTCACTTACAGAGGACTACAAATTGCCATTTGAGAATGTGAAGAACATTCTGATTTCTAATTGAGTACTCAGAACTATTGGTTTGCGTAAGATATGTAGTGATTACAGCGAGCAGAAATACTCAATGATACATACCAGTTGCGACATACTCTGGTGCCGCATATCCAAAAGTGCCCATGACACGAGTGGTGACGTGCGAGTCTCCATCAGTTGGCCCATGCTTTGCTAGACCGAAATCCGAGAGTTTCGCATTGTAGTTCTTCACAGGGAGTAAAACACATAATCAGATCACTGACTTTAAAGAAGCATATGGATTTCTGAAAGGAAGAGTGTTACCGAGTCAAGGAGGATGTTAGAAGCTTTGAAGTCGCGGTAGATGACCTTCTTTTCTGATGCATGTAAGAATGCAAGGCCATGAGCTGCGTCTATGGCTATCTTCAGCCTTAGGCTCCAGGAAAGTGGCTCAAATGTTGCTCCTCCTGTGCTCAGAAAAGAAATGGTCTTCTCAAATACTTTATAGACTAATTTGATGCAAATGATTTCTTAGACTCTTTTAATATGTAAGAACAATAAAGATCATGTGTTCACTTCCAAGGATATACAAATCTTGACGGAGTGGGGTTTGATCACAAAATGTATAAGTTCTAGCATTAGCTGAATATTTTGTCTTAATTGATTCAGGGAGCTCTAAATATAACCTTTTTTATTTAAACGACAGGAATTCCTTTATATCCCTTCATTTTTTAGTACCGAAATAAAATGCTTAATTACTGAGGTAACATACTTTAAGTATCCTAACGAAAGAACATAAACTGTCTTGAAGAGAAGAAAAATAAGAAACAAGATGCTTTAGTCGTTATCATTACGGCATTAGACGATAGGCTTACCACTTTCATATTATTGCTATGATATCAGAAAAGCGGCTAGCATTATCGTCAAATCTCATTTACTCACACCAGTATCATGCATAGCTTGATGTGGCCATGTTTATAAATCTCAGTAATGTGGAATTGCAAGGTAAAATATTTCAAAGAAAAAAAGAAAAAGATATTGCGTATCACTGGTATTCAAAGGCTATTAATAATTCTATGATCTTTGAATTAGTAGAAAGTTCAGCATCTTCATAAAACTCACTTCTGAAGAGGTGGTTCTCCAAGCTGCCCTTCGCCATGTACTCGTATACAAGAAGAAGTTCCACGTCCTCCCAGCAATAACCCAAGAGCTTGACGAGGTTGGGATGCGAAAGCCTCCCTAGAAAGTCCACTTCGGACTGCAGTTTTAAGTAACAGATTTATTTTTTAGCTGGATTAAGTAGAATGAACACAAGAAACAGAAATCTTTTTCTTCTCAAGATACCGACCGACTACTGCAATTATCATTGGTAGCATACAAGAGTGTGTATATGGTGTTTTCTCTTTATTATTTGCGATAAATGGAATCAAAATCTCATATCAAATCTTGTGTTCACCATTTACCATTTGTGAAAAAAGGGAAATGTATATAGCAAATACGGGTTAATTAAAACGCGCAAGTGGAAGAACATTATTTCGACTAGTAGAAGACCAAACAAGCATCAAAACTAAATATGGTGGATTCTACCTCTATTTAAGCTTAAAGACAATTACCTGCCATTGCTCTAACCCTTGCACACTCTCATGGTTCAATTTCTTGACAGCAACCACCATGCCAAGTCCACTCTTTGCAGGATTCAAAGTCTTCTCATCGACCCATCCCTTGTACACTATCCCAAATCCACCTTCACCAAGAACCTTATCATGCTTGAAGTTTCCTGTGGCAGTCTTCAGCTCCGCAAACGTGAACACTCGAAGATTTGGCACCTCCAGGATCCGACCCTCGCGAAGTTCCCCGTCGGCGCTTGCGAAACTGCTGTTGGACCGACCAAAATGGCTGCTGTCGAAGGTCGAGAGCTTCTCGGTGTTGGCACTACTACTGGCCTTTGATCTCCAGTGCCCTGCAATTCCAAGACAGGAAGACATTGAAATGGAGAGAAAACAGGTCATCTTTCTCTCAGCAACACCCAGATGTGTCCATAAGCGACGAAAGGGACAGTAAAGTCGGAGAAGGAATTGCAGATATATGTGAATCTCCAGGTCAAAAATCAAATCTTGATTGGGAATTCCAAGATTGAATTCAGATTGTATTAAGATCATTAAGCAAATAATTTGGGGAAAAAAAAGGAAGAGAACAACTCAAGCATTCATCTTTGCAGGACTCTTTAAGTTTGTGGAGAGCATCGAAAGTAGAACAAATTAAATAAGAACAAACTAATCTTGCAGCAGTCGCACCAAACCAAGCCAAATTACAACACAGCATCACAAGAAGAAGAAAAGCTTTCATCCTCTCCAATCCGACCAGGGGAAGATACAGATTAGAGACACAAATACAAGGCCAGAAAGGGAAAGTGAACGAAAAGTAGGAAGCCATAACCAAATCAAGATAAACAAAAAGGTAACCTTTTTTCGCTTGAAGAAGCTTATGTGTTTCTTTTTTCTGATCCAGTAACACATACCCGGACTGGATGGCCTGGTGTCAGGAGGAGTACTCTGAGATCTTGCAGGGAAAGTGAAGCAATTCCCCATTCCCGACTCTGCCGGCCTCACCCTCCCTTCCTCTACTTCTCTGCTGTGCCTTCTGTCTCCCGGGGAGAGAGAGAGCTGAAAACAAGAGCACAGCAGGGGGAAAGAGTCAGGAAGAAGGCCGAGAGTGGGGAAATTGGAGGAATGGGAAAGAGAAAGGTTGGCGCAAGTGCTGCCGCTTCTGCTCTCTCTCCTTCCCCTCTTCCATTTTGACCCGTCATTGTCAAGTCAATGCGCTACACCTGAGACGGCCATATCGTACAATGAGATTACTTGACCGGAAGACATCTTCGAGTCGACGAACAAAAATTACCTTACAAAAATATGTATTGATCCTCGTCATTAATCTTAAATATGTATTATTACTATGGTAGATTAGATCAAACGCATATAATAACAGTTGAGAATATGTAAATGAACGTAGAGCTCGAGTTTTGACTTCGCTCCACGGAGTTCATACGGCAAAGGTTGACTCGAGTTAAATGCGGCACGAGGTTGACTTTGGGACATGAGCGTTCACATGCAAGTCTTGCTCCTGCAAATGGTTATGCGGACCTGAAACCAACAGAATCCTTTCGTGATCTTTAATGAACGGCGGAGTTAATGTTTGGATTCCCGACGATTCGGATTTTTATGAGCTTATGTCGTTGAATTTTGTCAGCTTGTGTGACTTTTATCCTGTGATAAATTTTCTGAAATAAAGTACTATCGATGATGACGACGATGATAATAATAATGATGATAAATTTAAAATTTATATTTTTGAAATAAGATCAAACGGTGATGATGAGATTCAAGTCGTGATGTGATCTATCTTTTATTTTTAATTAAAAATATTAAATTTAAAACATAAAAAAAATTAAAATCTTTAATGATCTATACAATAGGTAAGAACTCAAGTAAACCATCGTGTCTTTTATTATTAATTTGTATGATGTAGAATTGAGGTGAGTTAGGATAGAGTATGGTAAGATGGGGAGCTCCGATACTAAAAAGCATTACTCATGGATGGGGTTAAGAAACGTCTATTATGGGTGTGGGGTTCTCATCACTCATACACCACACATCGTGTTAAAGTGGACAAAGACTTTGGACTTGATAGAGACAACTTCAATAAATTTAATGGATAAGTTATTAAAAATACTCTTTTGGTGGATTTTTTTTGTTTACATTTGACCATTGTTTCTGTATCATGAAAAAAAATCAAGTTAAGATTTTATTATGAACGATCGATCGATTATATTTGCTTTCTTCGTTTGCTCTTATATTGCATGTATCGTAAGACGCAGCTTAGAACGATATGTGGCTGTGTCCAAAGAAGAATGGTCGAAAAGGGAAGGAAGCACGTCCCTTTAATGCTTCCTGACCTGCCGAGCTATTTCCGGAGCACTTGATTGCTCCCAAGAAGAGGAAGGGAATCCTCTCTCCATCGCACTACCTCAAAACGGTGCCCGAGGCCCACCATAGGTCACACAGAAGAATCAATAGTTGACACAGGCAATTAATCTAGCAATATTCTTTAGATGATGTGATTCATGATCCAGGATTAGTTGCTGTTAAGAGTTCTTACTTCTTTTGTAGTAGTAGTAGTAGTAGTAGTACGAAGTGATGTGAATGATGATGATTCCACTGCATAAATGCCTCTGGCACTGTTATTGGACCATTGTGTCGGACAAATGAAGGAACAACATCAATCAACTGTAGGTGGATAAGAAAATGGGAGCCACGTCTTCTTTGCTGATAACTCTGTGTTCGTCTTGAGAAGAGATCAGAAGATGATGGTGGCCTCTTAGTTGCAGGATATGCTCATTTGAAGCTTCAGCTCTTGGAGATGTGAAGGTGTTGTGATTTGAAGGTAATTCTGCAACTTCTTTTTCTGTAGGTTCATTAAACAAGAAGGAATGATCATTCATGGGTTATGTGACAAGTAGATCTACTCGACCTATCAGATCTAATCGAATTGGAGTAAGATATTATATCAAGTATAAGATGTTGGGAAAAGTTCGTATACGGTTGGATAGTTGGTGGAACGTAGATTTGGTAAAATTTTTGATCGAGGTATTTCGTAATTTGTTTATTTGAATTAGGTTTCTTGTTAATGATGAGTGTAAATCGAAAATAGATATTGAAAAATAATTTCTTTCCTTCAAAATTTTGATGTAACATATATACTACTCAAAATATTAAAATTCTTTAAATCTATTACTCTTTTAATAATCTAGAATATTCAAGTTAAATGTGATTAACCATAATTAGCATTATCTATTTTGAGTTTTAAAAAAAGTATAAATACATAAAATATTCTCTGTGTTTTTAAAGGACTAATTATAGATTAGCCATGTAGTCAAATCTCTTTCTCATCTCGATTCCTAGATTTAAAAAATTGACATTGGAATCCCTATAATTATGAAAGTAAAACAATTAACCCCATTTACCCTAATGTCATTAGTTTTACTATTAAAACAGAAGATGTAGCACGTGACAACACATGTAGGAATGACACGAAAACGATGGACAAAAAGATAATTTTAATGTCCTAGTTATGTATTCTTTCTTCTTAGAGGTGGTTGCGGATGATGACACCATTGGGGTCATGGATGGCTGTTGTGATTGTGATTAGCGAGAATGGTAGATACAATGGCCGATGAGAACGATGCAGGGATGTCCTTAGAGATGGGCCAGATGGAGTCTTAGGGGTAGAGTTGAGGGACTATTGTAGCTTCTTGTGAGAGGAGGAAGAGGATGGCGCAGATGTCGATGCTTTGCATCTATATCGAAGTTGCTTTACGTCAGCATTTACGTCATTCTCCTCCTCATCTCCCTTTGTCTCACCTCTTATTATCGCTCTTCCTTTTCTCCCTCCTTCCCCTTCTTCCTCCCCTTTCTCGATCCCTTATTCTTCTTCCCCCTTTCGCCGCTCTACATCTACGCCGATACTGATCCAGATGTCAAGCAATACCAACATAGATACAGAGTGTGGACATCTACGTCGTCTTCTTCCTCCTCTCCTTTGTTTCACCTCTCGTTGTCACTCTCCCTCATCTTCTCCTCCTCCCCCTTTTTCCCCTCTTGCTCGATCCATCATCCTTCTTCCTCCTTTCGTCGCTTTGCAATTGCGTCTTCTTCCTCCTCTCACTTTGTCTCACCTCTCGTCGTCGCTCTCTCTTTCATCTTCCTCCTCCGTCTCCTCCCATTGCAAGAAACCATAAAAACCCCTCAACTCTACGGATTCCACCCGGCTCGTCTCTAAAGATATCCCTGTATCGTTCTCGTCGACCACTGTGTCGTTCTCACCAATCACAATCATAACAATCACCCATGACTCCAATGACATCGTTATCTGCCACTACCACTAAAAAGAAAGAAAACATAATTAGGACATTAAGATTAACGTTTTGATCATCATTTTCGTGACATTCCTACACGTGCGTCATGTGCTACACCTTCTGTCAATAAAACCAACGATATTAAAGCAAATGAGATATAAAAAAAACTAACTACATGAAATAATCTATAATTAACTCACTTTTAGAAGGCATTAATGTCTTTATAACTTCAACTAATAGCCAAATGATAACTAGCTGACACAAATTAACCACAATGTCATATGCAAGTTTTTAAGATTTTTTAAAGATTTTTTTAATTATGTGGATACATATATCAAATTATTTTACTATCTGGCATGAACATTTACTGATCAAGGAATCTTCTTCTGGAGACAGGTAATAAAGATGTGAATAAAACAAGCATTTATTTCTCTTTTTCTACTGCACTCATTTGTTCAAGAAACACCTGAAGCAATACCTGACATTGAGAGTTACTTGGGGAGCCTTCAATATCTTGGATAATTACCATTGTTTCCCTCCAGGAATTGTTTTGAGAGCTTCAACCTAATGTTCTGTGATCAACCATTTTGTAACAGAGGCATCAAATATATATGATGCACATTACTTCTTTTTTTGTATTTTTCACTGATGCTCATCAGGTGTGATCCTACTGTGTTACAGAGCAAACATAGTTGCATCCTGCTATTGTATTAAATATCATGCTGAGGGCTTGATCAAAATCTTCTGTTCTCTGTATCATTGAATTAAATTTGCATGCAATCTAGCATTAGCTCCTGAAAGCATGTGCAAAGTCTCCATACATTGCAAGTCATACATGAGGCAGGTCCCTAAGTTTGGTCATGTGACAACCTTGGTGGTATGCCAAGCAAGCTGAACAGTGTAATTGATAAATACATGTGGCAACTCTCAGAACTTCTTAGATTATTTTCCAAAGATGTTATAGGTGATATTTTTCATAACCAAGCACAATTTAGAATAAATTTTGAAGAATTTGACTCCATTTTGATACATTTGATGCTATAAAGAAGTGTAAAAAGAATGAAAATTAACTGAACAAAACTGCCTGCATAAGAGAAGGAGAATTATGAGATGCACAAAACTTACAAATCTGGATCCAGCAGAAACTACAGCTAAGTGGCCCACATACCAGATTACAATCATAGATTGGGCAAAGTCAGTTCTATAATTAATAATTAAGAAAGCTTTTTGAGAGCTTTTGCCAAAAGAACTTGCTGACACGAGAAGTTAAAACCAGCCAAGGAACCATCCCAACCTGTATTTAGATCAGTGAAATAGTACAAGGTCATGGAAGAAAGAAATTCCAGGAGTCATTGTGTTTGATATACAACTAGTAATGAGCTTACCATGATTTGGCCTGTGACAGCATCTCCAGCCCTCCAGGACAATATCTTGCCTGCCAAATCAAGATGACATCAGTCTTTTGATGTTGGGTCAATTGCGAGATGCGGTGCACATAGAGAAACTGATATGTTACAGATGATAGAAAGGGAAATAAACAAATAAGCATAAAAAATTTGCTCAACACACTAGTTTTTATGCTTTTGGGTTGATAGAGGTCATAATCCTTGATCCTAGCCCGCCCAAGATAAGTTGGTTTGAAAAAATCTGTTGGTCAGATCAACTTTGGACCATCCAAATTGAACCTGATTAGGATTGGGAGGTACATGTTTACCTCTGAACTAGGAGGCCAAATTATTGGTGTCAATCAACATGAATAAATCTGGGTAATCTAGTGTTTGAACAGATGGATTGGATAAAAAGCTCAATAGATAAACAACAGAATGGGTTTTTAAATTTTTTGCATTCTCTAATCCCTCAAGCGACTTAATAAATTCGATATTTCTTCAGCAT